TTCATTTAGTGACATTGACAACTATTTTCGATGGATGTTTCGTAATCATTGCATTGGTGAACTCCACACCTATGTGTTTCATTGTGAACTCACACTGCCTTAATAATTGGTCTCCGACTTTGCGCTGTTACGACCAATGATTCTAGAACATTAACTGATGGCATTGAACTAATAGTGTCTCCCGATATTTCAGTATGTGTATGTTTTAGAAATGTGCCGTGGTCCTGCTACGGTCATTACCGCTTGGCAAAAGCTCTAAGTGGCAGATCCTTACAAAACGCGCGTACTTCGCTTTCACGCCACGTGTTAGGTCCGGAAGTTCTTCATAGTTGCGTGAGCATAATATTCAGTCATAAACTTTAAATGAAGTAAGAAGAAAATGAAAAAGCAGCAATGGTTCCACATACTGGCATTCTATTTGTCAAGTGGATTATTTTTATAGTCAATCTTTCTCTAAGCGTTTCAAAAAAAGAATGACATTTCACAGAAAAAACGTAGGAAGGGAATTGGTCAGGGTTCGTTCCCTTTTTTATGTGCAGCTTGATGAAAAGAAAGAATGTATTTGCGCATTTAGAGTAAAAAACAGGTCCAACCGTAATCTTGTAAATATTATGAAAATGTAACCAAATTATCATAGACAAAAATACCACTCGCCGCTTGCAAGGACCGAACCGAAAACCGTCCGATAACGCGTGAAATGCTCTGCCAGTTGATCTACCGCAGCTGCCGTTCTCTATAATAAACGATAGGTAATATACAGAGCATAATAGGTACCAGATAATTTATATAGTAACATAGCTTCGCTTCAGAATGGCAGCAATAGAACGAAATAGAGTGGGTGTGCACAAGTATAAACAGCAGTTGCCAGAGTGCTTTTGGGTTTAAACAAGTCGCATTATTTTTGCCTTGTGCCGTATGAAAAAATAAACAGCTTATCAGTTCAGTCATAAACGACATTTTCCGATTCATCCGTCTTTCACAAGCACGTGGGCCATCGCGGGAAGGCCAATATATCAGCCGCATCTGGTGCTACTGAAAACAAAAGTTCAAACTCAATTTCGATTTCCCATTCTGATCAGTTCAATGCCGCACGAACTGTCGTCGGTCACACATGGGCTATTCGATGGCAAGCCATTGAAACATCTGACAACAATGTTTTAGTGATGATAATAGGTACAAGCCCTTGTATGAAAGAACGGAAGCGGCAGGCTTGTCAAGCTCGATTACTTGACTCAGAGTACGTATAGTATGTTAGTGCCATCTGCCTCAATCAGAGATGCTCTGTCAGTGGCCAATAGACAACAACGTTTCAGCAACTTAGTTGCCTGTTTGATTTGTACGCAGACAGACGGTGGCGTCCAAGGAGCCATTTTTTATAGTGATCAGAAGGAAGATATCATTTAGCGGTTGACTCGCAGCCTAGTAAATGGGAATTACTGATGTTCACGCAGTGTAATACGAGCGTTTGGCGTGACATCGAGGTTTATTACTGTCTGATATTCTTCAAGTGTTCTCCTGTCCGTCAATCATATTTTTGAAAACATTTTCTGATCGAAGGCTCAACTTTATGAAAAATAAATTTACGACATTTAGGCCGCTTTGATACGCTTTTATAGCACCATCCTCTGCGTAGTAACCGAGAGCAAATGCAAAAAAGTGAAAAATCGTTGTTCAAAGGACCACGCGTAAATATTTAAACAATGGTTCAGAGCACAAGTTAAAACGTTGATAAAGACGGGGAAGTATTGATGCCCGAGCATGAATTTCTCCCATTTCCGGGCTATAGAGACGTGGTATACACATACGTGATTGTGTGAAGCTACAAAAGGCTCCCAATATTCAAACACAGGGAGAATGAGGGCAGTCAACGTGCCTCCAAGCATAGCAAGTTCGGTAAGTGCCATATGTCGCCTACACCAATAAATAAAGAAAGCAATTGCCGCGTTACTGTGGGAGTATATTCAGAAGCAACAAACTGCCGCCACTGAAAGGCATTTCATGTGCAAAAGCGCTGTCGACTGTGCCGAGCAACCTCACTAAAATAAAAAGTAATGCCATGGATAGTTTGGCTCAATCTTTTAAAATGACTATGGTACCGAACTTTGGATCATATTGCGTGTTAAGTTGGTTAATAGTTTCACATTCTGAAATAAGGTAGCAACGTTGCAGCTCATTTGACAAAAGCACTTGATTTAGAATTCATTATTATTATAAGTACGCGAGTGGCCTGTGAGTACGGCTACACTGAAGCACTCTCGAGCCATGACGTTACGAGCTGTTGGCTTAGCAAGCAGCTGCATTCCGGCAAATGATATTGATTAATGGCAGCGAGCGCGACAAATCGAGATGTTTTTGCTTACTTCAGCTTTGAAATGAAATGAAACAGTTTGCAACGGCTGAAAATTCAGCAGAAGGCGATCACTCCACTGCATTCATCTCATGATGTCACACGCGCCATAGCGAAATGGGAGTCGCCGGCGATGGGCGGGGCTTACAGCCGGCCACTCGTCAGGCTTGTTTTTGCCCAACATGTTTTTTTGCGACCTATAGACCATCTACCTCTAGTTTTTCCTGAAAAACAAAAATTGTTGCGCGACCATGTCATGGCCGTTTTAATTGTGTTGTGTTACAGCACGCACCAGCAGAAAAAAAAAACCGTCTGCGTAAAAAAATTACCGGAATTGTTGTATTGACTCAATCATTTCTGGAAAAAACTTTGCTAAATGGAGCCATCAAAACTTCTTTTATTCGAGTTGATCGCAGCCTTGAACCCTACATGGGTAACTGCCAGTAAATGAAAATTTCTTCATCGAACTGGGTACTGAGTAGAATTTGGTTTCGTCGAATGCAGTTTGAACAGCGTTTCTTAAATGAAAATCACATTGAGAAGGCTTTCACGTAAGGTAGTGAATGACTAGGAATATATACATTAGGTATCCTTCGCTGCCCTCTAGCGTTGGACAGCACACTGTCCCAAAATTATCCTTTGCCTCGTTATGTCTTTGCACAAAATATGCACTAGTGTGGCTTGTATTTATTCAGGCAGTGTTCGCAGGTGAATATGCTGTACAGATGATGCAGTCTCTAGTTTCTCGCTGAAGAAGTGTGGACGATTATGATGTTCAACTAGCCCACATAGTTTTCCTTCCATGTAGGTCGTTAGTTGTTTATGATTGCTCAAACTTTCTAGGTCATGCGCACAGCAGCTTCTGTGTGCATGAGCCGTCTTGTTTGAATTTATAATATGGCATAGTGTAGGCCATTTGTCCTTCGCTATTCTTAGAAAAGTTCGGTATGCCATATAATCACCTGCTTGTTTCACGACGTCGCAAATCTCCGAAGACTCGGTGGTAGAGTGAAGACTGCACGCAGAGACTAAAAAGCGCGTTGCTACGCTGAACAATGCATAAACGTACTTCAAATAGCTGCAGGGTGACTAATTATGATCGTTAGTCAAGAAGGCCTACCAATCACAATGGTAGAGGCTACTTGTAGCAGCTGGCGAGAGGGATGCGTGAGCGTATGCATCAAATTTGTTTAGTTGTAGCCTAACAATGTTGAGCTGTTTGTGAACGCATGAAAGTCAGTCGACTCATCCTTGTTAAGACTGAAATAAACATTATTATTAGCAGAGGCAAGTATTCGCATGTGGAAAGTCTGAGAATTCGTAGTCCCGAAAACCGTGGAACCTGATCATACTCCTGATCCAGCAGATCAAGCTGCGCGAAAAGCTGCTTCAAAATGTGCCCTTTATCCCCTTGCTACAAGACGTTGCGATTGCTACCTTATAACAAGGAAAGAAAAGCGCATAAATTGGACACTAAAGCGGAAACGGAAAGCCCCCTCCCCCCCTTTTTTTTTAGCTCTTCTGACTCGGCCAAACTGACGCAGTCAACACGTCTGCCCACTCATCAACTCACATCAACTATATTAGGCAGCCGCGATGCTACTCACTTTCAATGAAATAAAACAAAGTTCCTCAAACGAGGAGAGCGTTACGTCTGCCCACTCATCAACTCACATCAACTATATTAGGCAGCCGCGATGCTACTCGCTTTCGATGAAATAAAACTAAGTTCCTCAAACGAGAAGAGCGTTTGATTGGTTAATAAGGCGTTTCTCGTTTTGGTCCATATTTGCGTCACCAATTATGTCAATTTCAAGCCCCTCAAAGCAACATGAAAGCATGACAGAGTGCTTTAGCGTTATAGAGCCCCTGTTCAGCGGTAGCCTCCTCCAAAATACTGCAGCGCGAACGTGAAAGTGTCGCACAGGCAGCCCCGGCAGCTCGCACCGCCGAGGACGTGAACGCGGTGGACATTGCCCACAGCAGAATTGTAGGGCAAATGTAATGACACGATTACGTGATTTCTATGTTGAAAGAAAGTTGTGCCTCAGTTCTTTATTTTACAGTATGTAGACGACAATAACCAATATCAAAAGGGGATAAAGGAAGCCTTCCAATCCGCAAACGTTTTTTGGTGGGTATCGGAGGGGGGCTCGTAACCCCCTTTCGTCTTCTCGCCTCCGTAGATACGAGTATGTTTCTGTGCATACGTAGCTTCCGCACCAAGCAAATTAAAACAGGTCGTGCGTACAGAACGTGAATATCATTTAATGCAAATTGTACAAAACTTGTAGAATGTGCTGTTACACGCAGGACAGTGCCATTGTCATGATGCCAATTCACGCGTCGTCATACTCAGAAAAGAAATTACTTACTTCTCTTTCAATGGGCTGCTTCAATGGGCTGCTTCACTCTTCAATAGGCTGCTTCACAGAGGTCAAACAGGAGCACGTGGTGCACATATTGCACGAATTGATTAAAAGAGTAAAAAAATCTATGGTCAGAAATGATAAACAACGTTACTGTGGAAATAATGCGTTGCAATGCGTTACTACAGGTCGCTCACAATGAAATGGTATTCCCTCATTCTTCTACATCCTGCAGCAAGCAGACAGTGCAGTAGTTCTTATGGCGAGTTCTTGCTCTTTTGCAGGTACTGGACAAGGAATAATCTTCAACTGCAGCGTGGTCGGTCTCGCGGACTACTTCTCGTCACGGAGAGGACTCGCACTGGGTGTCGTGATGACAGGGGCTCCTGCGGCGTCATTCATATTTCCCGCAATATTCAACTACACCCTCGAGGAGCACGGACTACGCGGCACACTCCTGCTCACGGGAGCATACATGCTTAACATTCCTGTATTCGGACTCCTGCTTCGCACTGGCCTTCGCAGTTCCACAGAAGAAGCGTGCCGACAGTCGGAAACCAATCAATCAACGACAAAGTCCAAATTATGGCCATCATCAAGAGCGCATTACACCGACAAAGACGGCTCCCCGCCCACAATTTGCCAAAGCGTGGAAAGTCTCTCGCGAAGCAATTCAGACGACCACATACGCCGCGGTTCTATTCTGAAAAGCAGCAAATCCTTTAGAATCCCTGACTTGGGAGGAACAGAAACGAGCAAGATATTGAAAGACGGTCTTAGCAGCAATACTACATTTGGAATCACAAGTTCTCGCCCAAGGTCAAGCGATCCGCAATTGGAGACATGGCCATGCAAGACAAATACGCTTAGTCAAAAAAGCCTTGCACAGCTTCATGACATAATGGCGTCTTCACTTCCAGCACTGATTCCGCTCAGAAAAAGCACGGAAGTCGATCCCGTGAAACTAAAGGACTTTCAGAGGCGAAGTTCAATCAAAACAGGCTCGAGGTTGTCAAGATGGACGACTCTTTGTAAAAGCGCTGCACTTGTGGCCAGAACGCGTCAGTTTTATATGATCGCGTATTCTTTCTGGGCTTACTGCCTTTTCCTGGATACATACCTTACAGTGATCGTAGACTATTGTGTAGATAGCGGAGTTGACCAAGGTGACGCGCTTCATGTACTCCATTTTTTCTCGGTGACAGACGCTTTGTGTAGGCTTGTCATCCCAATCCTTAGTGACTGCAACGTACTCTCAACTCCTGTGCTTTTGGCCAGCTCATATCTCGTAGCATCGGTGCTCGCCGCTAGCCTGGCGCTCCTAACGGAGAAGATAGGCTTTTGGATCGTCGCGCTGGCCTTGGGTCTACCTTGCGGTTATATCAATGTTGGCCTCTCGGAAAGTTTGTACACTGCAGCTGGAGAAGAGAACCTGCCTATGGCTCTCGGCTTCATGTCTGCCGCTGCGGCAGTAGGGTCGTTCACGACACCCACCCTAATAGGTAAATATCATTTCGCCGACCTTAAAAGCGTATGAGCCTCGCTAAAATGTTTTAAGGAGGGTGTGTACACCTCAAGCCGCTAAATATGTGGCAGCGGCGTAACCAGGGTATGGCACTGGGTCTGTGCCCCAAACCCTCCAGCGCACAATATAGAGCTCGACCAACATCCCTGTCGGGCCCCCGCTTCAGGTTGAAAATGTGTCCCCCCTTGCCAAAAAAATTTCTGCCTATGCCCCTGCTGCAAGGTACAGATGTCTATTGCAGTTGAATACATTTTTTGAGTGTGGTGTGTGTGGTGTGCAATGCCCATCTCCTCCTCTCTCTTTTTCTCTTTTACTCCCCCATTTTCCTCTCCCTCGTGTAGGGTAGCGAACTGGACTTAGCCTAGTTAACCTTCGTACCTTTTTATATGCTTCGCTTCTCTTGTGCCGTTCGCGTCTGTCGACTTGCAAAGCCGGAAAACTAAATTAAGGTGGTGACAGTAAAGAAGCTGAAATAATTGTACTTTTCTGACACTAACCGAGTTCTCGATGCATCAGTAGATTTGGCGTAAACGTTCTCCGAGAACGCTTATGGCAAAACGTCTTTCTTCTCTCAAATTAGTACTGAACGAGGTAGGTAGACAACAGGCCGAAAAGCAAACACATGACAATCGGTTGTACTCGTGTTATTACTCAAAACAAAAGCTTTTTAAAGGACGTTGGAACGTAGAAAGAAACTACACTGGAAATGATGACGTGAAAGAGTATTGTAACATTGCATAAGATATATTTTTTTTGCAAAAATGCTGTTAATCTAGGGCCGCGGTGGACAATATTGTGAGGTGGAGGGTTGAGTTGAATGAAGCTGACGTGGGAGGAGCTGCACGAATTGACAAAAACAATTCATTGACAAAAACAATAAAATTGAGAAGAGACATATATGTATCATGCGTTGTTACCGCATGCATGGCATAAAGTTCCAATTTGCAAATATAAGTTAGAAAATAACACTCTATTTGAAGTCGATACTGCCACGTCAGCCTTCGGCTAGGTAGTGGCAAGGGTAGTAAAAGGCTGCCTCTGATGTCAGGGCAGTATTGCCTCTGATGTCAATACTGCCCTGCGTGCCGGAGGTGGCCGACCCTTATGTAGGAAATGTTTTGAAGCTATTTATAGCCCTGTTTACCATATGACCCCTTGAGAGACCCTTAAACCACACCGAGGTCAAAGATGGAGGTATCCGTAAACAGGGGAGGTGTGCTGGAGGCCCCGTTTAGACGAGTGGACTCGTCTTCTTCAAGACCAGCTCTAGCATTGAAGTAGACACGCCGACTCTTCGAAACGGCGGCTCGAGAACACAACTCCTGTTTGCGGATTTCTTCAATGAAATTTTCCATCTTACTCTTCCTGACATTTTTCGGATCACCTAGTTGAAAGAGAATAGAGTAATTTCTCACCTTCACTGCGATTCCTACAAGCGCTAACACTTTTTCGCCACTTTTTTTTGGAAAACATGAAGCCCCGCCGTGGTGGTCTAGTAGCTAAGGTACTCGGCTGCTGACCCGCAGGTCACGGGATTGAATCCCGGCTGCGGCGACTGTATTTCCGATGGAGGCGGAAATGTTGTAAGCCCGTTTCCTCAGATTTGGGTGCATGGTAAAGAACCCCAGGGGGTCGAAATTTTTGGAGCCCTCCACTACGGCGTCTCTCATAATCATATCGTGGTATGGGACGTTAAACTCCACAAACAAATGAAATCAGAAAACACGCAGCATGTCAACACAAATTGTTGAGCCAATCAGGATTTCGACATCATGCTGCTAACTCAGCTTGCGCAGTAAGAAATGCAAAAAAAAAATCGAAGTGCAAACAGTTTATCGCGCACGATAGTCACGCGAGAGAGGGCAGAACGGCCATGCGACTTCAAGGTACGAGTCAATTCACACAAATATCGTTCGTATATTGACCAGTCGAGAGCTCGTTAGGTATTGAGGTGACGTGAGCACACTGCTGGCGTCATGAATCGTGCCGCAAAGACGAGAAATGCCCGGAAGGAAAAGATGCGCTCTTTTGTCCTGCTTTAAGAAGTTGCTAAACGGCCAAATGGTGAGAATAACATACGATCTAAAAACTGTCGATCTAAAATAGATGCATGTGACGGTTTCGCTTCCCGAAGCCTCGATATGATTATGAGGGACGCCGATGAATGTGTAACTGTTGCAATTCGAAAGTGCCAGTAGTGCGCAGGCGCAACGACAATATTTGTCAACGTGCGTTTGATTTTCGAAATCACTTATAATTAGACTGTGTATCTCTACAGTACGCTGCTTGGAAGAGACAGACGAACATATGAAGCCCTGCAAGCTTGAAAGACACCAGCGCGTCCGCACTGCCTTTGAGACGTCTGACACTGCATGTTGAGACCTCTCCATAATAAAAAAGCCTTGAATTAAGAACTTGAATACGAAAAGCTATATCGCACTCGTGAATGCAAAAATTTAATGACACGGAGGTCGAAGCATCGCATACCGGCTTCCGCGGCCACCTTCACGATGCAGGCGAAAATGCACAACGCCAGTCTACTTAGATGTAGGTGCACGTTAAAGAATCCCAGGAGATAAAAGTTCTAGGGACTAAGCTCCTTACACCGTGGGTCGTATGTCCCGTGCCGTCGTCGTACTAGCCACTTCTCGTTTATACTTTAGGATGTCCGCTAGATGGTGGTACTTGTACATGAGAAATATATCATGAAAAGATGCGAGATGACGGTATTGGAGTGTTCACTAGATCGACGGATGGACGGACGTGCAGACAGACATGCCGTGTCGTCGTCGTAGTAGTAGTAGCCGGGCGTCTTCAGCGTGCCGGGCGTCTTCGGCACGCTGAAGAAAGACATATGCATCCGGGGTAACCATGTTCGGCACAGTTGGTTGCAGCATAATGTCAAGCATTGCGGTGACGTCGCGGCCGTAAACTAGATGAAAATGAGCAAAGCTGGTGGTTTCCTGCAGCGCCGCGTTGTAGGCAAATGTAATGTATGAGAGTATTTTGTCCCAATTCTTGTTATCCTTGGTGACATACGTCGAAAGCATACCTACAATCGTTTTATAAAGGCGTTCGGTTAACCCGTTAGTCTGTGGGTGATACGCAGTTGCTGTTCGGTGCGTCGTGCCGCTCAGCAACAGGATCTCTTGGATTAACTGCGCCGTAAAAACAGTACCACGACCTGTGATGACGACAGCGGGAGCACCGTGGCAGAGAACGATGTTCTTGATAAACAAGTTAGTCACATTGGAAGCAGTTGCTCGCTGGGTGGCTTGTGTTTCGCAGTATCTCGTCAAGTGGTCGGTGGCTACCACAATCTAGTGGTTACCAGCCGTAGATTTCGGAAATGGGCCGAGTAAATCCATTCTGACCTTTTCAAAAGGTGCGTGAGGGGGTCGTAAAAGCTGAAACAGACCGGCTGGTTTCGTCGTTGAATTTTTGCGGCACTGGCACGCTGTGCATGTCTTGACGTACTGCCGGACGGCTTTCGTAAGTTTTCGCCAGTAGTAATTGCCCTTAATCCACGCCAGAGTACGCGCAGAGCCAAGATGTCCTGACGAGGGCTCGTCATGACAAGCACGCAAAATACCATCGCGGAGATCAGCAGGAACTACGAGAAAATGAACAGTTTTTGTTGGATGACAGTTGCGCTTGTAGAGGATGTCCTGGCGTAGTCAGAAAGATGACGAATCACGTTCAAACTGACGTGGGGGTTCTGGGCTACGTCCCTCAAGGTATCCGATCAGTGCTTGTAGTTCTAAGTCTTCGCGTTGCTGCTCAGCCACATTTATTGATGCGAGAACAGTAAAGTCTTCATCCTTGCCTTCTGCAGTGATATCGACGGGTGCGAGGGAAAGAGAGTCAGCGTCGGTGTGTTTCTGGTCATACTTGTAAACCGCCGTTATATCGAATTCTTGTAACCGAAGGCTCCATCTTGCGAGATGGCCCGAAGGATCTTTCAGATTCTCTAGCCAGCAAACAGATTGGTGGTCACTGAAGATTCGGAAGAGGCGTCCGTACAAGTAGGGCCTGAATTTCATTATGATCCGTACAACCACCAGACACTCTTTTTCAGTCGTCGAGTTGTTCTTCTCCACAGATGACAACGTGCTGCTAGCGTAGGAGATGATGCGTTCCACGCCATCTTGATAGTGCACGAGAGTAGCTCCGAGGCCAAGGTTACTCGTGACAGTGAGGACTTCTGTGCTGATTTGGTGTCGAAGTGACCAAAGATCGGCGGCGTTTGTAGGCGTTGCTTAAGGTCGCGGAAAGCGTCGGTTTCTTTGGGACCCCAGACGAAAGCGACGAGGTCTTCGACGAGTGTTTGTAGAGGGTCGGTTATTTTCAACAAAACTTGGCACAAAGCGGCGGTATTAAGCACTAAGGCTCAGAAAGTGGCGTACATCAAGCTTTGTTTTTGGTATCGGGAGCAAAGCAACTGGTATAGCCTTCTCAGGGTCTGGGTGAACACCACTGCTGCTGAGAATATGGCCGAAACATTTGAGTTCCTGATATCCAAAAGAACACTTTCCCGGTTTCAGAGACAGGCCGGCAGTGCGAATAGCCAGAAGAGCCACCTCAAGCGGCTCAATGTGCTGTTCAAAAGTCGCAGAGAAGACGACTGTGTCGTCTAAGTACACTAAGCACGAGTGCCACTTCAAGTCAGATAGAACTGTGCCCATAAATTGCTAAAGTATGGTTGGAGTGAAGCACAAGCCAAAAGGGAGAACTTTAACTTCATAGAGACCGTCAGGTGTTATAAACGCTGTTTTTTCTCGGTCCCGTTCATCTACTTTATTCTGCAAATATCTGCTACGGAGATCAATGGAAGAGAAGTAACAGGAGTGTCGCAGGCGATCCGAGGAGTCATCGATGCGCGGAAGAAGATATACATTTTTTTGTTATCTTGTTCAGTTTGTGGTAGTCTACGCAGAATCGTAGTGAATCATGTTTTTTTTAACCACAACAACTGGTGACGCCCGAGGACTAGTCGATGGTTGAATTACGTTGTCGTCGAGCATTTGTTTCACTTGATGACGGATGGCATCTTGCTCTTTCTGCGATTCGCGGTAAGCGTGTTGGCGCACGGGTTGGACGTTGGGCTCAGTGATGATTCTGTTCTTCATTACAGGGGTCTGCCGGCCTTTCGACGTTGTGGCTAAACAGTCACTAAATGATGAGAGGAGACTGAGGAGCCTTGCTCTTTTAGGTTGTTCGAACTGGTGATTGATGTTGAGGCGACTGGTCACGTCAATTTCGCAGCTGTTCTCAGTCGACATTGTCGTAATCAAAGGGAAGGCATCCAAATCGTCCAATGCGTACGGTTGTACGTTTCATAGTACGTTTCGTATAGTACGTATATTAAGGTACGGGTGTACGTTTCGCAAAATGCCTGTATTCGCCACTGAAGTTCGTAACTAAAAGCGCAGTCTGGCCATTTCGGAGTTGAACGAGACTTCAAGCAATGGTGACTTCCCGGTAAAGCAATAACGTGAGGTTACCTCCGGCGATGCACGTAACTGACCGTCCCAGTAAACATTAAACAAGGACGAAGATACTGCTGCGAGGTGGCAATGTGACGCAATCATCGACTACGCGTAAGGCCACGCCACGATGTTCGTTATCGATGTCGAAACCTGGAGAAACACAGCTGGCGAAACTGACAAACAAATCACGCAGATTAATTATCGCTCCATACTTTTGCAGAAAATCCATGCCTAAAATGATAGGCCGAAAAGAGTTGGGCAGTACAATAAATGACGCCACAAAAGACGACGCAGAAATCTCCAGCCTGGCGGTGCACCTTTCCATAGGGTATACGAGGTGTCCTCCAGCGGTGACAAGTTGAGGGCCGTCCCGCGTTATCAGCACCTTGTGTAGATGGAGGGTCGGCTAATGAAGCACTCATCACCGAGTAATCAGCTCCCGTGTCGACAAGCGCAGTCACCGGATAACAGGCGAAGGAAACGGCAATGGCAGCGGACGTTCTGTTGGCGGTTTCAGAAACGCTTTAACGGTACGTTGTAAGGCAGCGGTGGAGGGCGTTTGTTGGTTCGCGTGACAGCGGCCTCACCTCCGGAGGTCACCGTTTTCAGCTTCCCTGGCTTGGGTTTACGCCACTGACTCCTAGGGTCCCAAAGGCTGGTCAGGCGCAGTGCGCTGATGTGATCTTAAATCTCCAGTTGTTAGGCAGCCATGAGTCAGTCATAAATTGGCAGTATTGTTTAACGGACTTAGCGGAAAAGCGGGAACAAAATACGCATGAGCCATGCACCAGACAAAGCGTTGCATTTATATTAGTAACGCTATTTTTTTTTTCAGATTTAGCGCAACCGCGCTTGGGTGGTTTACGTGGGACACATAAATGTCATATGGGTTGACGACCGCATCGAACTAAGTTGGCGTTGCTTTTGAAGGATTTTCAAGGACGGTGTTAAAGGGCTTCGCTTGCAGATTCAGCCACCAAGTGTTCATAAGTCAGTGGAGTTTGTGAGAACATTTTCTATTTTGAACGGCCCTAGTCCTAACAAGAATGTCAGTATAAATATACCTGCAGCATATAGGGTTTCGCTTCTGTTGCGCATTTTGTTTATTTACCTTTACTAATATTTGAAAAGTCCCATGCAGAGATACAAGCGAGCATTTTCAGTTTTTAATTTTTATTTTTTTTGCATGCATTCATCGTCTGGTAGGTCACGCTGCAGTCACAGCTCGCTCATGAATTCGCTACACCACTATATTTAAACTTGCTGTCTGCAATGAACGCTTGTGGCACGGAATCACTATTCCTGTAACTCTCACTATCCCGCTAACGCTAAACTAAAATTATCTAATGTGCGGTCCTGACGTCCTCCCTTTTTGGCTAATATGTATCTCCCGCTCAGATATCTCCCATAGGCACGTCTACAATCACTGTTGCAGCTGTTGTGTACATGATAGGTTTCCTTTGCTATTCTCTTTTAGGTGCGGATTCCTTCATAGGCTTGTCTTGTCGTCCATCCACACATCACATGCGGCGTGATCACAATCGCTGTAAAGCGCTCAATACAGGCAACAAGACTGGCAATGCTCAAAACCGGGTTAAAATAAATGAAAAAGGTCTAAAATAATACCAATAACAGAAACAATCTACACTTTATATAACCTAAAATCTCTAAAACGTCTGAAAACGTTGGACTGATTGATTGATTGATGATTTATTTGGGGGGTTTAACGTCCCAAAACCACCTTATGGTTATGAGAGACGCCGTAGTGGAGGGCTCCGGAAATTTCGACAACCTGGGGTTCTTTAACGTGCACGCAAATCTGAGCACACGGGCTTCAACATTTCCACCTCCATCAGAAATGCAGCCCCCACAGCCGAAATTTGAACCCGCGACCTGCGGGTCAGCAGCCGAGTACCTTAGCCACTAGAGCACCGCGGCGGTGCAAAACGTTGGACTGATTCCGGTGCAGTGAGAGAGGGCGTCACAATCTCGCCAAGTTAGTGGATGTCCCACCCCGCAATCTGTGCCGGTACTGCGTCGCTATACATCTGATGGGTGAAACAACCCCAATCTGAAGGAACACACTGCAGGGGACGCGTATCTCAACTGCCGTAACAAATGGGAAGTTCAAAAAACGCAGTAAAAATGAGCGCACATGTCGCACAAGAACTTTGCAAATCTATCTCACAACATTCTTATCATACCGAGGAAATCTTGCATACATTACAACCTAAAACACTGCCGTCATCGACACTTCGGTAAACGCAGCAGCCGGATCTCTACGAACTGCAATCGCTGGGACGTCTGCGCTACGCAATTACTCAGCTTTCGCAATAATTGGGTTGCTATAATTCTTCACCGTCTTAGTCTTCGGCAGCTAGCACACCCTGTATAATTTATGACATTTTTTTCGAAGTGAGCGTGTTACGACTGCAGAAATGTGTCACTGGAGTCTTTCACCCAGATTCATTACTTTATCTGCGTGAATAAACACGAAAGGCGCGGTAATTATTATCTGAACACTGATGCCAGCGGAAGCTTTGGTAGCCACTCAAATTCAAGTAACATTGAACATATTAGTGGCACAGTCAGAGAAGCAGGACAGAAGATATCTCATTGTATGACCTAGTAAGCCTAAATTAATATTTCATCTCCTTCATCCCCAAAGTCAGTCATTTACATAGACTTCTATGCACACACATTTTTAAAATTCATAATTATAAGCAAGCCGAAGCATATTAAGGACACTATTCTACCTGGATGAAGTTCTAAACTAATTAGGCTGAATAATAAACTCTTTGAGATGGTCAGGATCGGAAGCAGGCACTTGATATTACTGAGAAATCATAATATAATGAATAAACGATGCTCGCCGAAACATGCGAAATGCGCAAAAGTTATATAGTATCTTCTACCTTGCGATCGTTGTGACTATATGCTATATTAATTGCCGTACATGATACGCTATAAGTTGTAGCAAACCCTCGCTGACGCGTTCAGTGACGTTCCCAAAAAGAAAATTTGCTTTACCCATTACGCTCAATTCTTAGGTTAAAAAACGTTTATACTCGGTCCACAAGTGAAACTCACGGTTGTTGTTTCTTTTCTTTGCAGGCTTATTTCGGGACATGGGGGGCTTCTACGACGACCTCTTCTTCATCATGGCTGGTGCAATGATGGTCTCTTTTGCTTTGTTTGCTGGACATTCAGTAATCAAGACAATTGGTCAAAAAAAGCTCACAATCTCGCAGTAGGAATAGTACTCCTATAAATTAAGAAACAATTTTAATTTCATCCGCGTTCATATGCTTAAACGCAGGATTGAAAATTTTTATCATCTGAATTCCAAGGTTTAGGGGTCATGAGTGTAACTGGCCTCATTAACTAGACAGCACGTTGGTGTGTCGTGGTTGCCTGCTCAATCCAAAGATATGCAAACAGAAGATATCTGCGTAAGATAGATTGTTACGTTTGTGCTTATGAGAAATACAACTGCGAGGTTGGGGAAGACAAGAAATTATTACACCAAATTATTCACGTCTCTGTAAATTGCCAGGGCGCTGCGACAAAGCACCATTAAACGACTTCATCCGTGAACCTGTACTCGGTGGAACATAGGAGTGACCAAAGAACGCAGGCCGCACGGAAATACCATAAACGCTTCTGCGCGAGCCAGCGAAGAGCTCCTGTGGTGGTGCAGTGACTATGGTGCTCGGCTGCTGACAGAAAAATCACGGGTGCCATCCCGGTCGTCGTGGTTGCATTTTAATTGAGACGAAGAATTAGCGGCCCATGTACCTAGATTGAGGTACGTTTTGAAGAGCCCCATGTAAGGGAATTCCGAAGTCCTCCACTGCGGCGTTCCTCATATATATATCATGCGTAAAAGGGAAGCTGCTATTACAAAGAGCTAGTGAAATTCTCAAAATGGAGCACTGAGATATCTCACCATGAAACAAGTATGCCTCGCAATAAAATTGGACTTGAACACAATCATCTATTCTCTCTACAAAACTGGTGCTTGTCTAGTTTTGTGTCATGCTACATACTAAGCATCGTGTTTTCTCTCTTAAATGCCAAGCATTTTTTGGCGAACTTCAGTGACTGAGCATATCCATCCATCCATCCATCCATCCATCCATCCATCCATCCATCCATCCATCCATCCATCCATCCATCCATCTATCTATCTATCTATCTATCTATCTATCTATCTATCTATCTATCTATCTATCTATCTATCTATCTATCTATCTATCTATCTATCTATCTATCTATCTATCTATCTATCTATCTATCTATCTATCTATCTATCTATCTATCTATCTATCTATCTATCTATCTATCTATCTATCTATCTATCTATCTATCTATCTATCTATCTATCTATCTATCTATCTATCTATCTATCTATCTATCTATCTATCTATCTATCTATCTATCTATCTATCTATCTATCTATCTATCTATCTATCTATCTATCTATCTATCACCATCAGGCCGCACGCTCCATAAGGATGTTGCACAAGCGCTTCCCCCTCGATCAGCCGCGATGCAGCGCTTCTTTACCACCTCCCCATCCTTATCCCCCTAATAAAAATTCAAGCGACGCCAATATCTATCTATCTGCTTACGTGTCGGTGCTATCATGATCACCCACTTAACTAGAGAAGCACCAAAACTACTACGGGTGGGTGAATTGTTTTGGCAAATACGACTTACTAGTCATGACATGCATGATGTCACTGACAATCCCATCGCGCACGTCGTCAAACACATTCCAAAGAAACAGTGGGTATGTGCCACAGGTGTATGACATTTTATATCTACCAGAAACGGTGACAGCACGCATAGGTAATTTGAACGCCTTGTCGTAATAAAAAGCGGACAACGGCAGCGTTAACCGCGTGATTGCTAACAATAAATGTCATTGTCCGAGCTGAAATGGAACCCTAGCATTCAGCGTGGATATCAAATGTTCTACCACAGAGCCACGCCAGGTCTCAGAACTGCCGGTCAAATAGACCACAATGTTCCTGAAACGTCAGCAGTGGGCTTTCCAATTTTATACCTTTACATACGTAGAGCCGCCACGTCGACTTAACATCAAATGTAGTCACGTGTCAACCGCTTATAAGTTAATGTAGCAGTGTCCAGGGCTACCATCCTCGCGAGAACCAGCGCTTCATATCTAATTGTCCCTTCTGGTGTTATTATATATGTTGCTGTTATCATCGTTACGCAATTCTCAACAACTGGTGATATACAGCATATGCGGTCGTTTATTGCACGTTTCTCCGTGCATTAGCACATATCCTTAGTGCAACCTCGCAGCGAAACGCACGCACACTAAGACACAAGCGCACATACACACACACACACACACGTGCGCACACTCAAACACACACAGCACGCTCACATACACAGCCACGCACATAAACACACACACACACGCACGCGCGCAAGTGCACACGCTCACACACGCACACGCGCATATACACAAGCATGCGTACTGTTGGATCGGCGCTTGAGCCAAGCTGAGAGGGTTCACGGTTCTGCGAACAAGTTGCCGAAAGGAAGCGTACCAGCTGACAGCGGTTCAAATATGGGTATTATCTTCCCAACCGCGAAGCGAGGCTTATGCAGTTGCGACGCCGCGCTAGGATGGCTAGATATAGCCGCGCCGCAAAGTGTATTGCAAGATGACCAAAATGGTTGCGGTCGAGAAAGTCTCCTTGAAAAGATGATGGTGACAGCATAGATTACCGTAAGCTCCACAAAATGAGCGTGACGAGCGCAGGTCCTTTGATGCCCCCGGAGGTGCAGTTCTAGTACGAGTGTGGGACGCGGCACCCAGCGCATCTCACCCCAAGGAGAAGACAACTTCGGCCCAGAGAGGCAGTGCACATGTGGTGGCCATGTCCTGGTCAGAGACATCACTGATGAGTGTCCGGTGGTTGAACAGAGAAAATAAAAGCTATCCCCCAATGTAAGGGTAAGGGAGAAAAAACTCTTGATAGCCAGCCACAGTGGGCTCCTGCGAGAGCCTTCCACGAGATGGTCCCGATGTAGGACGACATCTTAGTCTAGACGTTCATTATGTGGCGGGAAATGTTCGCTCCTAAACAAGGTAGAATGAACTTCTGTACAATTTCCTCATCAGTCACTTCATGCTCGAAGTCTTCCTCCCGAGTCCCCGGAGCTGGTAACGGCGTAACAGTGGCGGCATCTCTGCTGTCGAAACCATGGTTTCTACAACTGGTGGAAGCGGTGGAATCCTCGAAATACCAGATACAACAGTACACACACACACACACACACACACACACACACACACACACACACACACACACACACACACCACACACACACACACACCACACACACACACACACACACACACACACACACACACACACACACACACACACACACACACACACACACACACACACACACACACACACACACACACACACACACACACACACACACACACACACACACACACACACACACACACACACACACCACAGTAGATTCAAAAACAGTAAGTGAAAAACACTCCGTTTCCTTTTAAGATATGCCCAGAAGTATTGATTCGTATTCATCAGAAAAGGACTGGGCCAATGAAAATGATACTTCCTGGCTTAAGAAAAGCTCGATTTACGTGACAGTGAAATTAGAGTTCAGAGTGAGCATCCGGTGTTTGCTGCATAACGTTCTTGAATAAGACACAACAAATAAACATGAAAATCAACATTAAAAACGTTTTTTTAACGCTGAAATGAGAACTGCCCACAGATATACATATGATGGAGTTTGCTAGTAACTCCGCGTATAGCTATTTTGTCTATGTAAGCTTTTCACATAATAAAAGGAATGGTTCGCGAGAACGCTTGCGAAACTTCAAAAAAAGTTTTTAATGGAAGTGCATTTATGAGAACAAAAAATGTACTGTGCCTAAATGTACTTACGTGTACTGTAGATATGTCTAAAAGCCAAGTTGTTATCAAAAGGCAATTTCGGGCTAGGTGATTCGTATGTGTAGTAAAACAGCACCGGAGACAATAACAGACTATGCGAGTAGGACACGTAATAAAAGCCAGACTAACAATTTAAAATATATTTAGTACTTGCACATAAATACTGCCTTCACATGAATAAAAAGAAGAAGGAAGCTTAAATTACTCGAGACAGGGCAGTGCATCACGTGGTAACCTGTACGACTTGTGTACGTCTCCTTCTCCTCGTCTGGTCTGTTCTTGTTTGCGGCGCTGTTTTACTGCCAAGTCGTTTGAAATGTACATTTTAAAACAACCTGCCTTTTCATGCAATAAGCGAAACACATACAAAAACACAGTTGGTGCCTATGACACTGGAATTGTGCAGGAGCTTCATATGCACTAAGTAAGAATTCTGGCTTTATCTGGGACATATTTTGGCGCACAAATTGCTTTATTGTGAAATGGCAACGATTGCCTTTCACACCAATGAAATAGCTTTCTTTTATTATGCGTAATACACCACTTAGTATGTGCCTTGAAACTCTAATAAAGACTACTCATGAGGCCGTTAAGTCCCACACCTGAGCAACCAATAGAAGTTAAGCTGAGTTTACCACTTAGAAATTGCAGACCCCAAACCTCTGCTCAAGAACATGGGAAAGGAACATTCAGCAAGGAAGCTGGCGCACACCCCAAGCCGCGAGAAATACGCGCAGGAAATACGCAGTGGCAACCCCCCCACCACCACCACCATCATCGTCGTCATCATCATCATCATCAGCCCGACTACGTCCGCTGCAAGACTAAGGCATCTGCCATGTCCCGCTAGTGAACTCGGTACAGTACTAGCTGCTGCCCCTTTATACTGACAAACTTCTTAATCTCATCGGCCCACCTAACCTTTTCTCTCCCCGTAACCCACTTGATTTCTCTGGCAATCCAGTCTGTTACACTTAATGACCAGCGTTTATCCTGCCTACGTGCTACATGCCTGGCCCGTGTCCATTCGCCACTCTTGATTTCAACTATACCCTTAACCCCGGCTGGTTTCCTCATTCACTCCGATCTCTTCTTGTCTCCTAAGGTTACACCTATATTTTCCTTTCCATTGCTCGCTGCGTCAACCTCAATTTAAGCTGAAACCTCTTTGTAAGCCTCCAAGTTTCTGCTCCGTAGGTAAGTACTGGCTTGTTGCAGTTATACGCCTTTCTCTTGGGTGGTAGGTATATAACAACTGTGTATATCAACCACGCCTATAGCTCCTGCTAAATAGTGTACGTGGACGCATCCATCGGGCAACAAGAATAGCCACCGATCTGCGCTATATAGGGCATGAACCAACCTAGAGGCCACCGAAATAAAGACCAAGCTGCACATAGCGCTTAGCGTTGTTTATACATCTATGGCCGAACTATGTGCTATTCTTGATTTTGCCTAACAAGCTTATTACGCCACTCAGACCTTACCAAGTGAGAAGAAAATTTTCTACAGAGTATTTATGACTCCCAAAAGGCATTTCGCACTTGCAAGTTCTATCGCACTACCAATCTCGTCGTTAACAACTACGTTTTTACGTGCGTCGTCTGTGGGAACAAGTGCATAATTTGCATTGGCTTCTGGGACACATGGATGCAGAATGAAACGAGTGGCCACATCGACTGGTGCGCGCATGGCTACTGTCCACGCTATCGAAACCGCCCGAACACATTTTGCGCAGCGCACCAGAAAAAATTGAACAACACAGCGATTAGCACGATGCCATGGAAGCAAAAGCCCAAGCAAAGTGCTACCGGTTGAACTATCTCCTAGATGTATTTAACCCATTGGACATACCTCCACTTCCTTCAAGCGCTGGTACGCGTGGCAACAGGAATTGTTGCGACAGGCACAGACGGGAACTCTCCTTACCCTTTTCCTTGTGCAGCGTTTTCACAGATATCGAGACCTGGGCACCCCGACTATTGGCATCTGCAGCCAGAGCAACCCCCGACAGGACCTGGCGCACCTTATCTGGTACTGCCCGCTGTACTCTGGAACCAGGCAACAGGTCACTTCTAAAATTCCACCTGGATGGCGCCCGACTTCATTCCAGGCCTGGGTACCACCCGGGCGCATCACCGGCACCACCGCCAATGAGCTATGGCAGTCGCTGTTTGCTGTTGAGTACCTGGACGATCGCAAGGCTTCAGCCATAGGCACCAGGCTCTGTTTTGGGCGTGACAGCGAGAACATCAACTCGTAAGACGCTCACCAGGACTGCGTTTCAGAAGCGAAGATCCTCTTAGTCTAACCTTGTCCTGCATGTGGCGTAACTGAGAGAAGAGAGGAGAAAAGAAAATCACCGCATATCCATGTAGTGAACGATGATGTTGATTTGGGCGAAGCGCTGGAGGGTTTCATCGCTAAACCGTGAACCATCCAAGATTATCGCCCACTAGATCATCGAAGATGTGACAAACACTGTATATATTTATCCAATAAATTTTGAAGATCCACTTCAAGCCGCTCCCGTGCCACTTCACGTACGCCTGGGTCCGCACGCCAATCCCGCGTCGCATCGGCCTCCCGTTGTCGCACTGCAGGGTCCTCGTGACGCCGCCGCACAGCTTCGCGGCACGTTTTTGCCTCGCGAGCCCGCACGTCGGGGTTCCTTCTTCTAGCACAAGCCGCCACCGCCCTGCGCGCAAGCTACTCACCATCCTTGTCTATCCTCCGTCGCCAAGCCTCTGAATGTGCGCGCGCGCCAAAACGGCGCTTTTATTGTACTATAAAGCACCGCCGAAGAACACACGATCGTAGTTGCGCGATCGTCTCTCTCCTTCCGTACGTGTTACATCAATCCTGTTTTCACAAAACTCACCTTCGATTAATTATATTTTCCACAAGTAACTCCCTCTTGTGTCGTACCATTTCCATTTTTCAGCGTATATGCATTCGTTATATAGTACAAGTACCACCCTGTATGGCCGGTTCAAGAATCCCCGAGAGGCGCTTACCCGCAACGGGGACGCACAAGCCACACCATAAAAAGCTTCACCCCTAAAAGGAAAGCAGTATCTCTCGAATAGTATAGTAGACGTCAGTGTGTCATGGAAGTACACACAAACTGCAGTTGAGTGAGGATATTCTAGATGGCGCAATACCGCTACTCTCTGAGTGGTTTCTGCGTGGGTTGCGCCTGGGTGCGCGAGAAAGAAGTGCCTCCCACAGTATCTCGTATTGTCGCCGCACGTGGCGTATCGTTGGTGGAGCATGGACGAAGCAGAGAGGTGGGCGCGTTGAAGACGCTTGCGCTCGGCTTCATTTGCTCGTGCCTCAGTGCTACCCACACGCCGTCTGCATTCTCGTGCGTGATTGGGCGTATAGACGCATGCAGGGACGGACGGACACATGAACGGATGAATGGACGAACTCATGGACAGATAGACAGGCATACAGATGGACGGACAGACAGACAGGCCGGACAGGGATGAATGGATGGACCTACACTCATACAGACTGACGGATGGACACACGCACGGACGCATAGACGGACGGACGGATGCAAGAACGGACGCTTGGATGGACGCACGGACGGGTGCATGGACCAACATACGGACGGCAGAGCATGGATGAAAGGATGGACAGAAGCACGGATGGAAGTACGGACATTTTGCTCCACTCATCATTATTCACTTCCTAGATATGCTGTGTTTTTTTGTGCCCCCTTTTCTTTTGTTCTCGTTTTTTTATTTAATGCCGTCTCTCCACCTAGATTCACCGCCGCCCCCCCACAGGGCATGAAATGTGAATAAAGACGTGTCAACAACATCAACACGTATGAACATATATATTGGACAATGCAGAGCACGTGCGCCGGCAATGTGTAGATTAACTGCGTTCTGACGCTCGTCTTGCTTGAAGTAATAGAGAAAGCCATTAAAAGGGCCCGCAACTCTTTTCGCAATTTTTCTCATTCTCGAAGTTGTTGCAATTCGCAGAGCAGCCGCCCCAAAGATACGACTGACACATCTGCGCTGTAGTGTTGTAGAAGAAGCGTGGAAAGGAGCCTCTGCATGGTCCGATCTTCACGGGATCTTCACAGCCTGCATTGAGAAAAGATAGTTTGATTGAAGAGAAGCTGTGACAGTTCACGCGAGAACATATACGAATGAGGGCGGCTGCAGCATAGACATTTTTGTAAGCATCTCGATATTGTCCGACAGTATGAACAGTGCTCAACTCTAGATGTCTATGACCACGGAGCGTCGCGCGCGACACAGCACGAGCGACATCTGCAGTCGCAAATACGCCACATCTGAGCATGCGCGGCGCCAATGATGTGCCTGCCTTGCAGTTTGCACCCTTTATCTCCGCGGCCGCTATGACTGCTTTGGCCTTCGAAGCGCTGTGAACATTATAGAAGCAAAATAAAAGAAAAAAAAACAGAAATCAGTGATTGCCCGGATGAGCGCCTTTTATACTATCGCTTTGTGATACCATATCACAGCGACAACGGTTTTACTTTGTATTTTTTGTTTTTTCACTAAATTGTTCAGAGTGATTTCGACGGCCAAAGGGGTTCTTGCATCCGCGGTGATAAACATGAATCAGTAATGCAAGACAGGCCGATCATTGGCGCCGCGCATGCTCAGATGTGGCATAATTGCGTCTGCAGATGTCGCCAGTGCTGTTTCGCGCGTGACGCTCCATCGTTATAGACATGAGTGTTTAGCACTGTACGTGAAGTATAAAGACGCAGTGACGGAGCCTAAACGAGAAAAATAGGAATGCCAGTCTAGCTTACTTAAGAGTGGATCAAAGCTGGTAAATCGTTCTTCACTATTAAAATTATTCTATAAATATGTAGCTTTTATATTGAATATCAGCCGCATCAAACAGTATAAGGCTATCGCACTGCTCATTAAGACAACTAAAAGGAGAAATATTTTCCTTACTGTCTGTTTTTGAAATACGCATAGTAGCAACCGCATGAAAATATATAGAAGTAATTTACACAGCGAAATAAGCGGGTGAACTCTATGTAACACCTTTCATCTCGCTTCGTCACCCACATCTGCTTTAGTAAATTGCATTAATTGTACAACCCAGCCTGAATATACCTGTACAGCCCAATATATTTGATAGTTTCTCGCATGTTTGTGACAACACAGCTACTTGTGTATACGACAAAACCGCTGTTGCGTTTATGTTAAGATACCCTGTACTAATACTGCTTATTTGCTGTCTCTATCGCGGAGTGCAGCATTTAACCCGTTTAATACGGACAGAAACTAACTAATGAACTTGGCTAGGTCATTCCACGCCGACTGTATACCTGCACGCTAGACCAACTGATATTTATTAGAAAAAAATTGAGAACTATCTATCTAAAGTATGAAGTATTCATTAAAAGCATTTTTACCAACAAAAGGTTTTTCGGTGGCAGAGGATTCATGTACAGTTTTTTCAGAAAGCTCAAAACTATGGTCCGTAAAACACTGTTGTGTAAATATATGATAGGCGCCCCGCCATGGTGGTCTAGCGGCTAAGGTACTCGGCTGCTGACCCGCAGGCAGCGGTATAAAATCCCGGCTGTGGCGGCTGCATTTCCGATGGAGGCGGAAATGTTGTAGGCCTGTGTACTCGGATTCGGGTGCACGTTAAAGAACCCCAGGTTGTCGAAATTTCTGGAGCCCTCCACTACGGCGTCTCTCATAATCATATGGTGGTTTTGGGACGTTAAACACCACGATTCAATCAATCAAACCTATAATAGGCTTGTTGTTTATTGTAACCTCTACGACCTTTTACGCCTTCGTTACACCAACTTATTGGTTTTAGCCATAGTCGGGAAACCCCAGGCTCTTACGCTGATCCCTCGTTATGCGGTATAAGCAAATATTGAAAGTAATAATTTCTTTAAATACAGCATGACTACCTTCTGAAAACATGCGTAGCCACCCCCTTGTGAGTTGAGAAATGACATGAAATGTGCGACTGAGTAAATATATGGGGCTGACCTCGCTCTTCCTTCTAAGATGACTAGGGGGGATAACACGGGCTTCTGCTCCCAGCCTCCACCTTGCTCCCCGCACGCACCGTGGCCCGTAAGCAGATACTATCAATAGAGAGTTTTAGTACTGCGGAATGGTGCTACGTACGCATCACGCAAGCGCCTTGCGTTACGGGGCGTCGTTTGCCACTAATCGGCTTTTAGTACGCCGTAGTACCCGCGTACGTAACGAGCGTGAAGCGTGTTGTGTCATCTGGTAGATCAAAATAGAAGCACGTGTTGTTGACATTCAATGTGAGCCAATCCAGGTGTTATAGCCAGATTATGGCCATATTTTAAGCCACAGAGCCGGTCGGTGCTTGCCTTCGATGCCGCCATTTTGCAAAACGAAGTCTCGCGCGGTCGTGAACTTGTTCGAGAGAAGCGTGATCAGCTCATACGTACGCACGCACGCATCTCATGCGTGCGTACGTAGCGGCTGCGTTCCTAACGCGATACGTGCGCATTGCGGTCTGCGCATGCGCACTACGCAGAACGTGGCGTCCTTACGTACGCAACGCCGCCACGTACGCAGCGTACGCAGTACTAAAACTCTCTCATATCAAGAACAAAAAGGCTTGCAGTTACAGCGGTTGGTTTGCAACTATCGTGGGCGTTGATTGTTTACTTTAGTGAACTCCCCTATATACAAACTAAACAATTTGGCATGGTACGGTTGAGTCTTAGGCTTGTTAGTTCATGCTTGAAGAAATTGGAAGATCCCACGTGCAGTAGAATTGATGATATGCAAAGCACGAATGAGAAATGTTGATATGTCACTTCACAATCAGCACAATGTTATGAGGTGGAGGTAAATGAGGCCGTACTTCCGTGTCATGATTATCATGTTCGGATGTGTCGTTTACCTTCGTCATCTGTTGACATCACGTGATACCAAATTAGTATATGTGGAGCTAGCAAAACGGCCACGAGCACGCTATGAGCAAGGTATGTTGTCATTTTCTTGTGAGGACAATTATGCTTGCACCAGTCATATATTTCGTCATCCATTAATGTCACGTAAACCCGAATTAGGTATATGTGGAGCTTGCAAAACGACCGCGAGGGCATCATGAAGGGCCCAATATACTACAAAGTAACGTTGACGCGCGCACACGCTGGACACAGTGACGCAACGTTAGCAAAACGCGAACTCTCTACAGTCTGACGCCAGACACGACCAGCGTCCGTCGGCTCGACCCGCGGCGGCAACCGGCGCGAAATGCGACATGCTGCATTTTGCACCAATGCGTTACCCAGACAACACTGCCTCTCCCTTTTTTGCGTCAGAGGGACGCCGGACGCGCTGAAACGCGCACGCTTCAAAGCAACGCAGCGCGGCGCGCGTCTGCGATTATATGGCAGGACTTGTGTCTGGCGTGCCAAAGCCGGCGAGCGCGCGCACCACGTCCAGTTGAAATATATTGGCGCCTCGACTGTGGCATGTAGTCATGTTCTAACATTGCACGCATATCATGATTATCATGTTCGCACCAGTCACATAGCACCATTGTCCATTGACGTCACGCAATACCAAATTTGGCATATGTTAAGCCAGCGAAACGCCTGCGAGCGCATCATAAGTGCGGCATTTTGTCATGTTGTTACATGACACGCATGTCATGTTTATCATGTTTGCACTAGTATCATACCTTCATCATTCATTCACGTCCCGTAATACCGAATTTGGTTTAAGGAAAGCTAAGGAAACGGCTTCCAGCGCATCATGAGCATGGCATGTAGTTATGTTGTTACATGACACGCATCTAATGAATATCATGTTTGCAACAGTCACATACCTTCGTCATTCATTCCGTTGCCCTAATACCAAATTTGGTGTATGTGACGCTAGCGAAACGGTCGTAAGTGCATCATGAGCGTGGCTAGTAGTCATCTTGTTACTTGACACGCATGTCATGATTTTCATGTTAGGGTCTGTCGCTTGTGTTCGCCATGCAATCATGTCATTCCATACCAGTTTCGCAACATGACATGTGAACGAAATCACCGCAACTTCTGCAGGATCATGAAATGTAAAACATGAAATTCATGACATACATGTCATGATTTTCATGTCATGACTAGTCGAATATGTTCTTCATACAGTCATGTTATGCCGTACTAAGTTTGGTATCGAGACCATCATCGAAACAGCGAGGAGAGTTAATGTCGTAGGCGGACAGATAGATAGATAGATAGATAAATAGATAGATAGATAGATAGATAGATAGATAGATAGATAGATAGATAGATAGATAGATAGATAGATAGATAGATACGCTCTAAGTCGCTGATGTTCGCAAAGAAATGCTACGCATTCAAAACAGGAAAAAATAGACAGCGAGAAATTCTGACGGAACACACAAGGTGAAGAAGGTACAAAAGGAGCGCTGACCTACAGATGACTTTTTTTTATTGTGGTGACACATACCTTGGCTGTCAGAAATATTGAAAGAAAACTAACATGCTTCCGTGTCCGTATATCTAGTCGATATGCATCTGCGCTGAGTGCCAGAAACACTTGCTATACCGAGCCAATATGGTTCAAAAAATCTATTTTGAATGCGAAGCATTTTTTAGCGAACTTCAGTGACTCTGAGCGTATCTATTTAGCCGCCTACGACGTTTAGCTCTTTTGGCCCTTTCAATAATGGCATTGGTACCAAACTTGGTATGGCATAACATGACTGTATGAAGAACATATTTGACTATACTCATAACATGAAAATCACATGTATGTTATGAATGTCATGTTTTATACATTTCATGATCGTGCAGCTCTTGTGGTGGTTTCCTTCACATGACATATTGCAAAACTTGTATGGTATGGTATGATTCCATGGCAAACATAAGTGACAGACAATAACATGAAAATCACGACATGCGTGTCATGTAACAACATGAATACATGCGAAGTTCATGATGCACTCGCGACCGTTTCGCTACCGTCACATATACCAAATTTGGTATTTCACTACGTGAACGGGTGACGAAGGCATGCAACTGGGGGAAACATGATGAACATGAGTTGCATGTCATGTACCAACATGA